GACGCTTGGCGAAATTCTCTCCCTAATCTTACAGACGGTCATTACTCTTGTCGCGCAACCAGTGGTCACCAAATTCCATCGATTAAATATAGCTGAAAAAATACCCGCCCGATATTTTCAACATTGGAATTATCCCGGTAACACAATTAGAATCTCGAATAAGTCCCTCCTTCTATGCATTTTTTATTAGAAAAGTACAAATTTATTCGCTAAAATTTCGCTCTTTATTAAGTTTTGTGTTAATAAATAGTTTGATTTAAGGATATATGTGTCATATATCAAAACATTGACAAAAGCATGAAAATTTTGTAGACTGTTCTACTCTTTCTTTTGAGTATTTGTACAAAACCTGAGCACAATTTTCTGAACAGTTTGGAAATTATTTAAGTTTAAAATTAATATTGATTTTTATGGAAAATCATGTATTGTAGTCACTTATTGACAAATTTGACAAGGAAAAAACATTGCCAACAAAATAAAAATTTTCGCATATATTAAACAAACTCTAATAAATATTTATGCAAGAGTTGATTTAGATCCACTTACTTATTTAAAAGTTATTTACTAAAAATTGTAGAAAAATATTATCTCTCTTTCTCTCTTTTTCTACAAATTACTCGATTTTTTTTGTTTTTTGCAGTTGATTTTTCAGAGGGTATTCACGATCAAAAGTTTTTGTCATAAATTAGGAAAAATATTAATTACAATTATTTTCTTTTACGAAGACGTTAAATATTATATTATTTTGTGATACTTTAATTCTTTTCACACTCCAGATTTATTTATTTGACTTTTCAAACAGTATAAACGTAAAAAATATGTTTTTTTTTTCATTTTGGCAGTTTTTTGCTACTATTGTACAGCCAAAACCTTCTTAATTGGTTCATTTGTTTCTAATTTATAATTTTAAAATAAATTAGAATAACATAAATCTTTGTGTAAAAATTAAATTAAATTTCTGTCATAATAATCTCAAAATAATAAGACAAATAATAATAAAATAAAAATTGTATATAATACAAAAATAAAGAAGAATATAAAAAAATGCATTTTGCAAATCTTGTTATAAATTTCTTTTAATATTAATTTCCCTCGATCGCATGTATCGTAAAAAAAAAACAAATTTACAAAAAATCGCAACGGGCAATCTCCCAGCCTTCGCGTTTCAGACATCAAGTTTATAGCAAAATAGCTACTTCGTACTTTGTCCTATCGCATTCCTAATACAACCGTACCATAAAAGAAAATGTTCTTCCAGAATGAAGTGCGAGGGAGGGAAAAATACCAATGTCTGAAATCACAATGCGCCGGCTGCCATTCTCCTCTGCGTATCGGGCTTCGTAACTCCCGTCAAAATAGCTCGTCTTTTATATTCCGCCCTGTTATATTCTCATGTCCCGCGCGACTGAGATTGCCTTCTCTTCTTATCCGCAAGTACAAGATTGCGGATCGTATCGCGAAGCTGCGCTTGGAACGATCGGGCGGGAAGGGAAAGCTCGAGCGCGGAAACTTCGGAACCGGAATCATAAATCCCGCTCCGTCGCCGACTCCGGGTCCAACTTTGTCGGGGTGATGCAGGCCCGGACTCTATCGACTTTTTTTCAGCTGCCGCCGTTAAACGGGAGCTCGGCCGGGGATGAACCACGTTCGTCGACGAACGGAAACGTTGCACAAGCGCGATCGCATACGGCAAGGATTTCGGCGAAATGGAAAACTGCATCGTTGGCGGGCTCGGTTAGAACCCAGGGTTCGTAAGCGTTTTCGAATCTTCGGCGAGCACGAGAGCGAATCCTCCAATTTCTCTTCAGAGCGAAGGACTGAAAATCCGGCTGCGTCGTTTGAATTTATTGTCGAATTGTGTCTCACCAACGGGACAAAAAAAGAAAAAGAGAGAGAGAGAGAGGAGTTTCGAGATTATTGAAACGCAATTAATATAATTATATCTTGTCAGTTATCTTGGAATAATCCGATTTACATCCTTCCAAAATGCTATTTTATGCTGTGTAATTTATATTCGATAAAAGCGCATTAATGCACGAAGCATCTCGCTTTCTTAAAATTTTTCGGTATTTTTCTGACCATCTAGACGCAGGGAGAGAGAAAGAGAGAGAGTTATTGATATATATATTTGTCTCGCTCCGTTATCTCCCTCTTCTTTCTCCCGCTGCGATCTGTATACTCTCGTCTTCTCCTGTCGCTATTATTCCGACGAAAATCTTAAAAGAGAACGTTCAGATCTCGTCGACGATCTCATCCCTCGACACATTGAGACAAGGACGCTCCCTTCGTTAGTATAAACTGCATATAAGGTGACTTGCAGACGGGAAGAAGCGCGAGTTTTTTTTTTTCCCCCCTTTTTTCTTCGAGAAACGCGGCGCTCGTTCCACGCATTTCCCTCTCTCCATCAGTGAGAAATTGCACTTTGAGAATCGTTCGCTCCCTCTTTCTCTCTTTCTCTCTCTCTCTATCTCTCCCTTCGTCGTATTCATCCTAAGCATCTCGCATTTTTCCCCCGTATGTCCTTCGCGATTTTATATTTCCCCTTCCCCTTCCCCCCCCCCCCCCCCCCCCCCCGCAATTACTTCGAAATTGCGGGAATTCACGAATTAATCGCCCGTGGCAAAACTACCGTCGAAGAATTTCTCGCCTAATTTTAAACCGTCGCGTCGACATTCCTCTTCCGGATCGCCTCGGGCCGGAAAAAGTCACCCTCTCCCCCCCCCACCTTCTTAGATCTAAAATCGAGCTCCATTATGTTCCTGTCGCGAAAATGCGACAGTTTCTTTAATCGACGGGCGGTTAAAGGCGAAGGGCAAGGTGAGCCCAGACAGTTGTGTATGCGCGCGACACACAACGACGACCCTGTAACCTTCTCGGTCGCGATATTAGTGGGCGATATAACGAGCGATCGAGTTTCGAGTTGCGGCTGCTGGCCGCTGCACCATGCTGCCTCCCGTGTGCATCTAATAGCGACCCCGAGCTCTAATGCATATACGAATTGAATATGCGAATTAGCCCCCGCCTTGGGTGACCCAAAGCACGAAACAAGTCGTTCATTTTCCCACGGATCGATACTTAAGGAGTCTCCGAGAGTTCATATATTCCGTGTTTCCCCAGCCAGCGGTTACCGGCTACTCGGGACACATTTTCCAGCTAAGTATTTATGATATATATATATACTACGTGTATGGCGGACAAAGATACTAATGCTACGAACGTGTTCGTATGAGAACGAGTCTTCTCTCGCAGCAACGGAGAGCGATAAATTTCACCGCAATGTTACTGGACAAAATTATAGCAGGATGCTCGACTTTTCGCTTACAGTTTCTTGGAGAAATCTCAGCCAGAAATTCAATTAAGACACATCGTCCTCGTCAACGCAATCTTGAATTTGTAATGCACTTTCGATCCGAGCGAATTGACGTTTAGCGGGAAAAGTGACAGGAGGGGATTCTCACTTTAAAACCTCGGCTAAATGAAAGAAAAGCAGAGGCCGGAGACGAGCCGGGGATTCCGGACGACGAGAGGCTGCGGGAGCGAAATCGAAGGCCGCGGCCTTGTCCGACGACTGACTGACTGCGAAATCACCGCGTCTTATCAAGTCCGCCTCCTACAAACGTTATTCAAATACTTGAGTGAAATATTAGATATTTAATCCTGTGTGTATCCGGAGTCCTGCCCGACGTATTTCCGCGCGATCTCGCTATTACTATCCGCGCTGGAACATGAGCACGTGTTCTCGACACATCGTCCTCGGTTCTCACGGTCGAGGTCGAGGTTGTTAATCGGCAACCTTTTAAGCCAGCCCAGATCCTATAATCGATGACGTAATTTGATTCAATTCGGCTCGATCGGGACGCTTGAAACTTGTTTACCGAACGTATTAGGCACTCCTTTAAGTGTCCCTCCTGGGTCCATAGTCGAATCTAATCTCACCGTTTTCCGATAATGTTATGATAACATCACACAAAGACACGAATAAATAAAATTAATTATTGAAATATGTAAAATTTGAAAGTAATATTTATGAAAATTTAAATTAATTAAGAGTATTAAAATAATAATTATATATCCCTCTATTATTTATCTTCTCCCTCGAAAAAGTAATTAAGCTTTACTTGCTATAATTACGTTAAAAATTCGCGATATTTAGACTGCTAAAAAAACGTGCTTGCGACAAAACATCTTTCCTGTAGGTGATATTGCTTCTACTTGCCATGGAAGGCACAAAGCGATCGTTTTTGTCGCGTCGTTTTAAAAACGAGAATGGATAGACAATCGTTCATCATCCATCAGCCGATCATAATAAAAAGGCAATCAGAAACGAGTTTGTTCTATCTCTCTCTTTCTTTTTCTCTCGCTCTGGCAGCATTATCAATAATTTATCCGAATGTTCTTTGGATATCTCTGCCTTTAAAAAGGGATTAATAATGCTCCCTCGCGTGCCGATTTGATTTATCGTAATTAAAACACCTACGCTGATTTAATCAAAGTAAAGGGATTCCTCAGACCGTCGAAGAACTTCGAGAGGAATTGCGAGATATCGACGTGTCTTCGAAGGTCACTTTTGACGACGGGACGTGGCGTGATTGCGCCCGTATAAGTACGTATATTCCAAAAGTTATAATTACGACATTGAGAATATTAATTACCTCAATAGTTTTTACTTTCGACAAATCTCACATTGTATTACTGAAATCATTAAACGGAGAGTTTCTATTAATCTTGAAATTAAAAGAAGTGGCATTTTTTATTTCTAGAAATTTACACAAGAGCAGAGATCATTTATTATTGAAATTATTTTATCCATAAAATTTTTATCCTGAAAGTAAAACGTTAATTAATTAATGACAGCTATTCAGGTTAAATAGCGAGAGAATAGAAGTACTGAGGACATTTCTTTTCTTTATTAACGATTTACAACGTATTGTTGAAAAATTAGAAGTAAGAAAAGAAATGTTTTAAATAGGATATAAATTACATTATATGTTACATTTTATTACATTTTACAAAAGTATATATATATATATATTAAATAATTATATATATGTATATATAAAATAAATCGAAGCTAATATAATCGAGAATATAACCGATCGAAGTATGGACATATTCACAAAATATATCTACAACAAATTGTATATGCTTTATATTATACATGAATAACATTCGCATTTTGAGTTTTAATATTTGCGCTATAAATAATCTTAATCGACATAGTTATTGCCGCGCCATGGTCTAATCTAATCTCGATTAATCAAAAGAGTAACATGAAAAATTGAAAACGGTGTCGTGTATTTACAGAAATGAGTGATTTTCTCCGATTCGACGACGTGCAAATACTTTGGCAACGAGATGACACGCTACACAGTTGAAAAATTTGTGTTAAATTTAATAAATATTATGTCTCAAACAGTCTATATAAATTTTTGTGTTAATTTAACATAATATGGATATATTAAATGGTGACATTAATTTACGTTAATATTTTAACACAAAATAAATGCAAGCTTCAAAATAATTTGAAATAAATTTTGTGTAAAATCAACATATTTTTAATGATAAAATTAACTTGCAAAAATGTTATTAATGGTCCGTAGTCATTCTCACTCTTATTATAGAATAAAATCAACATTTTTTTCTGTAAATTTTAACAGATAAATCCTGTCTAACTAATAATACGAAACATACCTATTGTGTGAAATTATTTTTTAGTTGTTTTAATAATTTAACATTTGAGTTCAATTAACACAACAGCAATATGTTAAATTAACACATGAATGTGTTAAATATTTAACACAAAAATTTTAAACGGGTTATTTTTTAACAAGAAAACACAAATTTTCCAACTGTGTGTGACGAGAGCATATACAACGTACAAAAATAATTTATATTCCAAATTTACGAAGAAAAATAACGTTATCGAATAAAAACAAAGAACTTGCAGCCGTTATATATTCCTCGCGCTCCTCGGAGATGTTTCTCCGTTTTTTACAAATCGACTCCGCTAATAGAGCATGTGGCTGGTTCTGGGTGTACCTGCGAATACGATTATCCGCTCAATTTCGACAAATGTGTCCTATTAAGGATGTACCTTTTGTTATGTTGCACCGAAATTATATCTATTCCAGCTGCTCCGTCTCCTAGCTTCGTCGATATTGGACCTACCGTGAAGGGTGGTCGACGTGGGGTTCGTTTGGGAGCCGGCTAACGAGATCTCCGTTCCGGGATGCTCATGTATCACCGTCTCGGTGATATTGTTCTCCGCCTCGGAATGCGCGCGGCGATGCTCTGCTTGCCGTCTCTTCTCGGTACCGGTACCACCGGCACAGCAATGCTGTTCCCGTTGCAACATCATCTCGTGGGTATAAACGGATTCGCCGTTCGAGAAGGAATGGAATCGCTGTCGCCGTTTCGCCGCCAGCTTTGCTCGTCTGCCAACCACGCTCGAGGTGTCGTGAGACCCCCCGCGCGAAATGTCGTTGCATCGCTCGTGACGCTGAAGGGACTTGAGCGAATCCTCGTACCCGCTAAAAGAGAATAGAAGAAGGATTTTGCGCGGACGATGGAGGAGAACAGGGAGAGAACTCGATCAATTAATAGGATAATTGCATTTTGAATTAATAATAAGGTCACCCGAATTAATGACGTTTTTCTTCCTTATTTCTTTATACGCTTCTTATAATTTTGTGATATTTCTCTGCTACGTGATTTCCAACAATATCCGCATATCGGTGAAACCGAGTTGAGGGGAGAGAATATATTGGAAGCCCTACTTACTTGCTGCTCTCGCCGCTGGAAGGACTGGACGAGTGACTGCAATGACAGGAGGTACGTGCCACGATACCAGAATCCTGACCGCTGGAATGTAAGGATGTCGCAGATGCCTCGAGGCCTTTCAAGGTACCTGTCGACCGCACCGCGTGTTTTCCGCCCCCGCCCATCCTGAAAGTAGCCCGCGGCGCGATTTCGATATATTATAAGATACTCCGAAATTCTCCGATGTAGTGAAAAATAATAGTGAATATAATAATAAGCTTTCCTTCGGAAGCGAAGGAGTCAACGCGATGCGCTTCTAATTATCAATTATCATGCTCTAATTTTATCAGTCAAAAATTGAATTGGATAGGATTTTCTCTATTAAGATAAAAGACAATATTTTATCCATTATTATAGTTATGAAAATTGTTTTGCCATATTTTTTTATGTATATTAGGTTTTTTATATAAATTTTTATATATATAAGGCTTTTTATAAAATTTATATATAATTTATACTTCAAAAATCATTTTCTTCTTCATTGAATTTTAAATAAATTTTAATATATAAATTTAAAAAACTCGATTTATTACAAAAATATTTAATATTTAATATTGCGAAGAATAACAGCTACATCAATACTTGATTACAAATTTCCTAAGAATTTTTTAATTAAATGATAATTCTTTATTATTATCTTTTGCATTATTCTATAATAATATTATATAAAAATAATAAAAAAAATGTTACGTTTTTCAAGTATCTTCTACCGTTTAACAGCAATTTCAAACGGCACTTATATAGAGATATCTTCTGTATATACAAAGTGATTCATTAATCTATAAATAAATTATACCATACATATGGGGTATATAAACTCATAATCTATAAATGCATTTATCTCTAAAAGTATGGCAAACACAAAAGAAGTAGCACATATGGAGGTTAAATTGTTTCGAGGGGATTAGATAGCTCATACGATAATCCTAAAAGTGGAGGCATTTTGGAGATTTCAAGATCAATTCGATTTTTTTAATGGAATAATATTACATATACTTTTTTTTAACATAAATCAATTCTTCTCATTGTTTTACGTATAAAAGCATTAGCTGCTTCTTTTATTTGCCATATACTTTAGAAATAAATTAATTTATAAATTAAAATAGATGACACAATTGAAAAATTTGTGTCAAATTTAACAGATATCACATGTCCGAAACGGTCCATACAAATTTTTGTGTTAATTCAACATAATATGGATATGTTAAATGTGACACTAATATTATACTATTTAATATTTCAACATAAAATAAATGTAAACTTCAAAGTAATTTGAAATAAATTTTGTGTAAAATTAACATATTTTTAATGATAAAATTAACTTGGAAAAATATTATTGACGGTCTATAGTCACTCTCACTTCTATTGTAGAATAAAATCAACATTTTTTTCTGTAAATTTTAACAGGTAAATCCTGTCATTAATAATACGGAACATATTTGTTGTGTAAAATTAAAAATAGATGCACATTGTGTTATTTTTACACTTTTTCAGTTATTTTAATAATTTAACATTTGAGTTCAATTAACAGCAATATGTTAAATTAACACATGAATGTGTTAAATACTTAACACAAAAATTTTAACCGGCATATTTTTTAACAAGAAAACACAAATTTTCCAGCTGTGCACTGTACACGTGTATAAATCACACGAAGCTTCTTGATTATCTAATAATAATCCTTCTCGAGCAGATCAGAACTTACGTATGAAAGCGGACGCAGCTGCCGCCGTGCTCGCATATGCTCTGACGCCTGGGCACTTCGGAGCAAAAGGGCTCGGGGTCGTAATGAAGACCGTCGACGAAGGTAGGAAAGAGCGGCGGCTTCTGCAGAGTACCGGCAGGATCCGTCAGAGCGAATCCGACCGGGCTGACAGTCGAAAACATGGCCTTGTCTCGTCGTCTGCGACTAATGAATGGAATTCGAGACTCCCAGTTCAGAGTAGCACCCAGAGTAGTTTGTGGCAAATCAGATAGAAAATCAGCGCATTCAGGACGATAATAAAAATATTTCGACAAGAGATCAAAAAACACACACGATTCGAACCCCAACCCTTTCCTCCCACCCTGAGATTCCGTTATTTTTCCGAATATTTCCTTACAAGCGACATCATAAATTTAGATAGAGCGCGTATATTGAGTGTTAATACTAAGTATTATCCTTTGGGCAAGGTAAAAAGAAAAAGAGAGAGAGAGAGAGAGAGAAAGAGGGAAGATCCTTTAGGTGACATGTCCAGGAGTTAGTATGGTAGCATAGATGTACGACGTTGCGTCGACGTTAGGCGAGATGGCGAGCGTGCAAAATCGTATTCCGCGTACCGTTTGTTGCGACGGACGCAGGTAACGCATAGGGCGGTCACGAGGGCGCCCACGAAGACGACGCAGCCGAGCACCACGACGGCTACTTCGAGAGTGGATAACAAGTAACGTTGACTGCCTCTGCGAGGTGTGCTACCGGCTATCTCCAGCACGCGAAACTCGTCCAGCTCGCGTTTAATGTCCACCTTCTTGGTATTAAAGACGCTAAAAAGTCACGCGTATATATACGAGTTTTTTTGTATAAACTTGGTATCAAATATAAATGGCTTAAAATTTCATATACGAGATACGAATCGAGTTTAATGGAGTAATCTAATTAAACTTTTACAAAAATCTCGACTCCCAGTTAATTAACAAAATTTGAAATTTCTTATATAATAATCTAACAAAAAGGAACGTTAAGATAAAAAATAATCCTTGTGATTGCTATATATTACGATTCTTAAAAATGTTATAGCTTTGGAAAAAATTTTAGGTTTAAGTTGTAAAAAAGTATAGTTATATCAACATAAATTACTATACTATATTAGCTACGGTATATGTGACATGCTAACAAAATTTTATATATTTCGTTCAAAATTAAGTATATAGATTTAAAACTTTCAATGCTCAAAAGAAATTTATTGTAAAGATTAAAGTTAATAAGATTTCCGTGATCAAATGTTGGGTTTATTATTTCGCGAGAAGTTGTAATTAATTCTATTCATTTACGGCCTATATCAAGTTTATCATATTGCAATTAATTTTAACATAGAATTTGTATTCAATAAAGGGGAGCTTGGGAACCTTTACATAATTTATTCTTTTTAATTTTGCAAAAATCCGATGCTCTTAATTTTAAAAACTCTTGTTTGAATAAACAATTGAATACTGAATGGCAGACTTAATTTACAATTTTTCCAATATTTAATTACAGAAATCTTATCATTAACTATAATATTTTTGCAACAAATTCTTTTTGAGAATTAAAAATTCTATTAATATAATTAATTTTAAATAAAATAAAAAATTAAACTGTCCTAATATATAATGTGTCGTAATCGTAATACGATAAAAAAGCCTTTTTAAAATTCTAAGATTTTTGAAATTGTGATATAATAGAACATTTTCGAAATCGATGTAAAAAAAAATATGGAGAATGATTACATTTTTTCGTGACGGTTTGAAAGAAAGTTATTTTTGTTGAATATTATACAATCAAAATAATAATATGATGAATTACCTGTTCAAAGTATCCATGTCCACCATAACGTTCAGATGTGGATCGATCGCGTACAAATAAACGTCGGTGCTGGAAATTAAATAAATCAAAAATTCAACTAACAATTGTGTCAATTTGAACGATATCATTCATTTATCAAAATCGCTCGGCGAATTAGCAACTTACGAGGCCGCGTCGATCAAGTTCTTTTCGATGTGGGGCTCCAATTTTCTTACCCGCACGTCCAAACCAGTGACATTCTGCAGCGCTCTGAAAGATTACAGTTCCCAAGTTCGCGATTCTATTCTTTGCGATAATATACACACCCGCATACTTACATGGTGATGTTTTCGAGCTCCGGCTCGATCTCGATAGGCTTCCGTCCCATAACCATGATGATTTGCTTCTGATCGTCCAACACGTACACCTACAAATTCGATAACGAGATATACATACCAGATAGCAGAACAGATTGTCGTATGAGATGGAGAGAAAGGGAGAGGGAGGGTGTTTCCGTCTTTCGAAACATCCCATTTCCCTGTGAGGAAATTAGCCCGAGAGCTATCTTCAACGGTAAGTAATTAAGATATACCGCATATGTATATGCGAAAGAGAGGGAGAGAGAGAGAGAGGGTAAGAAGGAGACGGATGATGTGGAATATGTGCGACTAGAGATTAAAAGGGTAATAAAAAAACAGAAACTTTGGATAAAAAACTTGGTAAAAAACTATTTTTTATTCCCCCAAAAGTGAGTTTTTTCACCCCATTAATTACTCGGAATGTATTTTTTCAAAAATTTATAGCAGAAATCTAATTTTGATGCTTATTTATTAAATTTTGATTGAAATTTATTAAAATTAGATATCAGATTCCATGTCCTGTGTTATTCTCAATTCTGGTCCATAAAATAACAAAAATAACAACAATTTTACTATGCTTGAGAGAGTTTTCTTTTAACTTTGATGAAACTTTAAAAATAAAGAATATCCAAAAATACCATTGAATTATAAAAATCAAAATTAACCTGTTTTAAAATATTCGAACTCAATTGATTAAACAAATATGCAAAGTAGTAATCAGCTCAGCCACATCCACTGGAATTGATTACTGACCCAGTAAACAAAATTAATTTAATTCCCATACCTTTTTTGTTCGAAGAAAACTGACACTATCTTTCAAAATTACAAACAAAATAATTTTTTATCCAAAAATACCGGTTTTTTACTTAGTTTCTTTCCCCATTTTTAGAAAACTCGGATTTTTTATAACGTCTTACAAAGACATTGGCGATGCTGCTCCGTCCGCTCTCGGCGCCCTGTCTGTCGGTGGCCTTGACGTCGAAACCGAAGACGCGACCGGCGTCGCGGCCAAAACTCGCCACAGATCGCACTTGACCGCTGAGTGGGTCAATGGCGAAACGTGGGGCGTCCTCCCGACCGAGAATTTGGTAGCGTATCTCGCCGTTTATTCCCAGATCCGGATCCTCGGCCTGCGAAACCCAGCCAAGAGTGCGCCAAAATAAATCTCGTCGACTTTATTCACATTAAAGCTGATATAGAATGATTCTCAGACACTCGGGGATCTTTAATTCGGGAAAGTTTTTTTTACACCGTTTAAGACTTTTCAATTGTACGGAAGCTCGAGATACGTTCGCTCATTCCATTAACGCGCATTCTATTACATCGCAATTAACAGAATGCTCAGGCGACACGACATTTATGTGAAAAAGCCATTTCAGAAAATCGAATAAAGCTCGAAAGAGGGACGCTCCAAAAAGACGAAAGAATAGAGAGAAGGCGGAAGAGGTAGCGTAAAAACCAAAATGGATTAAAACCAGCTCACTTTTAGTCGCTTAGCTGTGCGTATGTGTGCGTACGTACCTCCACTTTGACGACCTCGTAACCGTAATGAGCGGTAGTGGGTATAGCAGCAAGGATAGGTCTGTCTCTCGACTTGAATCTAGGCGCGTTGTCGTTCACGTCCTTTATCCTGACAACCACTCTAGCCTCGTTAGGCGCCAGACCGTTCAGTCTCTCCCCGACGACCGGATAAATCATCACCGGCATGCCCCGGCCCATCTTCAATCGATCAACTCTGACTTTAGCCTCATACCGATCTCTGGTCTCCCGGTCGATCTCCGTCATCAAGTATAGAGAACCGTTCTTCGAATCTACCGAGAAGTGCTCCCTGCCATCGGAACCGTCAGCCGCCAAGCTATATCTTATATGATCGCCGTGATAATTGTCGGCTAGATCGAGCTGCGCGATCAGTAATGGCACGGAGACGTTTTCATCGACCTCTATCTCGTAATAACGGTGCCGAAAGGTTGGCATGTTAGACACCTTGTTGTCCGTTTCCTCGTCGTCGTCGACGTTCAGCACAGTGACGAGAACCACAGCCGAAGAAGTCAGGCTGACCGGCGAGCCTAGATCGCTCGCCGTGACGATCAAACGATGATCGCTCTTGGTCTCGTAATCGAGCTTGGCGATGGTCACGATGATACCTTCCTTGCTGTCCACTGCAAAGTATTGCTTCTCCGTGCGATCCTGATAGCTCAGGTCGAACAGGATCAATCCGTTTCCGTTCCCGGCAAAATCGCTATCGTTCGCGTATACCTTGGCCACTTGCGTGCCGATCGGAATGTTCTCCAGAACGGAAACACGGTAGATCGGCAATCGATTGCCCTCTTTTTCTAGCTCGTCGTAGCCGTGGAATGTCGGCGCGTTGTCGTTCACGTCCAGCACATTGATCTCCACCTCCACGGACGAGCTTAGACTTGGCGAACCTTGATCGTGCGCCACCACAAGGAGACGGTGAGTCGCGGCTCTCTCGCGGTCGAGAGTACCGCTCACTCGTATTATTCCCTCATGAGGATCCACGTGGAACGAACGCGACAAGTTGCCGGTATGTATTGAATCCTCGTGGCTGGTGATCAGCTCGTAGCTGAGATCGGCGTTCGCCCCAAAATCAGCATCGAACGCTCGCACCTCGCCAACCGCGTGATTGCTGTAGGTGCCCTCGGCCAAGTCGAAGATGTACCAGGACTTGTCGAAGACAGGCGCGTGATCGTTCACGTCCATCACATGGATCCGGATGGTGATGTTGTCCGAGAGGCCGCCCGAGTCCTTCGCCAAGACAAACAGCCGGATATCTTTCTCCGGCGGTAGATTCCGAGCGATAGATATCTCGGCCGTGCGCGGATCGAGGTGGAAGTAACGGCGGCTGGTCACGTCGTAACGACGGGACCTCACCCCGTTCAAGGTCGTTTCATTGCTCAGACTGTACGTTATCGCCGCATTCGCACCCTCGTCCTTGTCGTCCGCCAGCAGGCGGATTATGGGCACGCCAATCGTCGTGTTCTCCGGCACCAGCAGTAACGGCGAACGTCGCCCGCCATCGATAGTCTGATGTGCTTCCCCATCTTCTACCTCAACGGATTCACTTGGATCGTGCGATACGCGCACCCCTTGATCCGGCAGGACCACCATCCGTATAAACTTTGGAGCGTTGTCGTTCGCGTCGAGCACCGTTATCCTCAGAATACTTTCCGACTTGAGTCCACCTACAATGAGAGAAACACCTTTGAAACATTCGTTTCCAAACCCTATCGTCTCAAATTCATATCTTTTAAAACGTTTCATACTAATAAGATTATGATGTATCTTTCAATATTTTTAGAAATTTCCGATAAACTATAAAAATATTAGAAATAAACTATAAAAATGTAGAAATAAACAACAAATTATCCGCATCAAATTTTATCTCGTCATAATATTTTAATGTTAGATAGTCCGATAAATAAAAATATAAAAGAATGTAAAATAAAATATAAAAATTAATAAATAACTTATGGATATACTTACCACTATCGGTGGCGATAATTTGCAGCTCGTAATTTGCTTTCGTTTCACGATCCAGGGTTCTATCTTCGATACCCAAAAAGAATACTCGGCCCGTTAACGGATCGATACTGAACAGGCCGCTACCCTCGCCTTGTAGAGCAAACGTGAAATCCCGATTTTTGCCTTCGTCCTTATCGCTCGCCGCGATCGGATCTGTCAAAGCGACCTCCGTTCCCGGGGGACTATTCTCCATGATCCGGCCTTCGTAATCGAACAGCGTGAATTCCGGCGCGTGATCGTTCTCGTCGTCGACGATGATCCGCACCTGAGCATTTTTTTAAATCATTCGAAGCGACGATTATTATGCATTATGAAGCGCGTTTGCGATTATGCGTTAAAAGCAGCACAAACAGCGGAAACGTATTTTACGCATGGAAGGTTTACCTGAAATACACCCACGCCGCGCGATCCCTCGGCAATCACGGTGACGCTATAATTCTCCTTCGCCTCGCGATCTAGGCCTTGAGGAGCATAGAGAGAACCGTCATTCATAATGGCGACATCCGGCACGTCCTGCTGATTAACGATAAGGAACTGAATGCCAGATGCTGTGCCATTGTGCGGAAGCACTTGGCCGATCAATGCATCGGGAACATTCTCCATCACGTGGAAGACCAAAGGAGCGGTGGTCGTTCCCCTGCAATTGACCGTCATCATCTTTTAAATCGACGAATAATATTGTATCCACAAAATATCGCGAGATCTTTGATTTTTCCCTCTATTAACTGGAGTAAATCGGATATTAATTGGTAAAGCTTCTCTTAAATGCGGCCAATGGAGAGAAGAAAAATTTTAGTTTTTATTATTTAGTTTTTATTAAAGTTATTTAATAAAGAATTATTTTATATTTTTAAATATAATTATAATTT